TCTGGAACTTCACAGCGGCATGCTACGAGGCGGTCAGGATTGCATGGTGGTCAGATTTGGCAAGTGGTTTGGCCGATACTGCATGCGCTATGCTAAACATGAACGTGACTTTTCAAAGTGTGCGTGGGTGAAACACACTGAATAAACGGTTGTATACTCCCCGACTAGCATGTGTGTGGTAAGTACAGGATGGCTCTGGCAAGCGGGTACAGCAGGGCAGGAGCAACAAGCGTGCTGAAACAGCAGACGGACAGAAATCCTCTCCCCTTCAGTCCCAGAACCCTGAGCAGCTGCACTTTGGGAGTGTGGTGGCAAGCTGTATGGACGGGTTCACTCTGGAGTACTTTTTTCGACAGCTCGGAATTTCCGGGACTTCCTATACCCATGAATGAGCAAAGCAGAGACTACGAATCACCATCAAAGGCCGAACGCCAATACCAAGAACCAGTGTCTTGAGAAACGCCTGAATTTGGCCAGCAGGATAGACCCGTTTCCAGCTAGATGGCGACGCTAAGACGCACCAAATATTCACTAATGTAAGCTTGCATTTTACTCTTTAAAGACCAACAGGCCTACCGTACGCTTACAGTAGGCATTATCGTTGTGTTCGTGCATGAGCGGGCTGGGACATGCACATTTGGCGTTGGCGGAAGGAGTTAGTGACGACGGTGGTGCAACACACCTCATGCATTTCTCATATCGCACAAGCCTCAGCTGCAGCGCTTGGGAAGATTGGATACAACACAGAGCGCAGAAGTGGACTCGTTTGGGGTGGTTTACACCCCGCAGCACTTTGCCACAGTCTAGATGGAAATGCAAGGCATCCTGTGGTATTGCTCTACAATCGGATTCTCTCGCTCGTACTAGATGCATATAAAGGGGGTTTAAGCTCAGTGAAGTACTGATTGAGTGTGCAATGGCGTAAATTGCACGGGATACAGATACTGAACGAACACTTTATTTAGCCGGGTCCCAGTAAGGGAGTGCCGATAAGCCAAATTCATCGATTGAACGTACTATTAATAAACTATGGAGATACTATAGATGCGTGTAGCATTAACAGGGGAAAGGAATCTTAACAGACGAGCTCACTGCAACGAAGAGTGGCTGGCTGGCTGACACTTTGCAGGGGCACCCCTGGAGAGGGCCAAAAGGTGCTACTATGGTAATATACCCTCCCGACTCCGTACATAACTTCCAGGAGGTCCAAAAAAGACAGCGAATTCCGTTTGAATTATTCCGTTCGAACAAAAATGCATTTCTGGAACAGTTCTCAGACATTTTACATTTGAACATCAGTAAGCTCAATTGGACGGCATTGCTCCCCTGACTTTCCTTCACAAGCTACATACGGAAAACTAGTCCACAGTCTACATTAGCTTCCAGGGAGTCGTACGCTGCTGCCATATCCCCGTGCTCACTTTACTTGGACGTCAGATACTGGCAAATTTACTCCTCATGGACTGAACTTACAATGAACATTTCGGACTGGATGAAAAAAGTAGACTGCGTTCGCCCAAATAGGATGGACGCAAGCAGTTTCTAGCGCCGCCTTTGTGCGAGAAGTCCTAATTTGCCTTCGTTACTCAACACGTAGAAGCAGGATGGACCTTCCAAGAAGTAAGTTTGCAGACCTTACAAGTTTGGTTAGAAAGCATTTTTCCATGAAATGGAGGCGACTGCGGCCAGAGAAACACCCAGCCGTCGGGGGTTCGCAGCTTTATCGCCTTTCGCAACACTGCGATGCTACGAGGCGTAACGCAGTGGCGCAAGCCCTTCACCCGCAAGAGCTGAAATAATGTGAAGGCAATTAAGGAATTGACCCGCAAGCTCTCCTCTCCTGCCACTAGGTGCAACAAAGTACAACGGCATTTTTCGTGAGGCTTTGGAATATAGGAGGCCTGCGCGGCGTCGCAGTATCAACTTTTAACGAATGCGCAACCTGCGTCTTTAAGGCGCAGGAACAAGAGAGGGTCCTCCTTCATCCGCCGCCGGTGTATCAAAAAACAAACAAGTAAGATTTAATGCGAAGGGCATCTCGTCCATCGGGACTAGTTTCAACTACCTTATGCGCTTCTCAGCACCCATCAGCAGTATCTTCTCGCATGCGCTTAGTTCTATCAAAGGGCGCTCCGGAGCTGTACTGGCATGACAACACTTCAGTGCAGTGCACATTTCCTTTCCTCTTTTCCCCAAGGGTAGCGACGGCAACGGCCAGATTCCTCGAACTATTTGGCGGACGGGACGCGTGTGTACCGAACTGCAGCACCCTGTGCGTGCTACAGCCCCCGGTGCTCACGCGCGTTTCCAGTTCATGGAGGAACATCGTAGACATTTGTTTCAAGGTTAACTACATTTCCAGTAGAGCGCAAATACACGCATGGATGAACGGTTATATCTTTACTTGTCATAGCCTCCAGAATACGCATGCAGAGATACGCTTCCCCCGTTACCAGCAGACCCAACAACTATGCGATGATGTCACGCTGTAGGAGTGTCAGAGTGTAAGACCGCCTCAAAAGCTGCAATCTAGAAGCCTATATTTCCTTTGCGTAGCCCAACAGTCAAATTTCAAGGCAAGCACCAATGTAGCATGTTCTCTTTGGGGCTGGTGGATGTACCTGTACTTATTTACACGCTGGCCTCTGAGGTCTAAGTTGCCCACAGAGGTACTGCACGTATCAAAATTGCGGCTTGAGTATGCTTGCATTTGTACCTCCCTTGCACTAGGAGTTGCAGCAAAGTGCGCAGACTGCCATCCCCACCAGCAGTAGGTCTTTCTGCGTAGGTGTTGCTACGCGCAGAACAGCAGGAGACTAAGGGGACAGGTCACCTGCCTTTTAGGAATGCTTACAACGCATTTGACTCGATTACATCTCACGATGCTCCTCAGCGAAGGTCGAGAACTCCCACTTCAAAGCATGCCCTTCAATATCTAAATTTCCTTCTGCGCCGCCAATGTGCGTGTCAGTGACGTCAGCGTTAGCGAGACACAGCAGCGAGAGGAAAGCGGTACTAAGAGAGCTCCCCAACAGGGGTTTTGCACGTCAGCGCACTGAGCAAATGAAGAGGTGTTTGTCGAGCGACTCCATGCAATGCGTAACAAGGCCTATCCAAAACTTGTACATTAACACTTCGCCACCACAATAGACAGCGTGCATATACGCACAAGTGCGACAATCGTCTACAGCCATAATGCACGCAGCAGACGCGGGCTGGCTGCCCTCCCACGTGGACGTGCTTTACAGTCTCCCAATCAAGTGCTTCTTTACCCCTCGCATGGGGCGTCTCAACCGTTCCAGCCCCAGAGGCCTTGAGGCCTCTGCGCCCAAGACGTGTGGAGAGGGGGGAGGAGGTTATCAGCTATCAGCTGCTTTTGAGGAACTCTTAGCATAAGTCTTTTCGCTCGACTGCAAAGCAGAACAAACCTCTATACAACCAACCACACTCTACCTACCGGTCCCCTCCCTGCACAGGCGAGCTGCAGCTCAGCCGTCGCCAGGAAGCTATAAAGGAAGCAGCATACAACTCTAGTGCAGATACGGGGAGCGACCACTTTATTTTAAAAGAATATACTATGCAAATAGAAATATAAAGCTTATAGACGCCCCTCTACTTACTGAGAACCCCCTGTTGCTTCCCGCAGCAAACCCAACCTGCACTGAGCGACCTCGTGTTGCTGTGCTCTCTCCGGCGGCAGCAGCTATTTAAATGGAAAGCAAAAAAATATACAAATAATATCCAAACACTACACGAAAAATTAGGGGGAAATCCCCCCAACGCCGCACCCACCGCACGCGCAAAGCCGCGTGAGTGCAGCAGCAGCAGAGGCGCGGGGTGAGCAGCAGCGACAGCAGCAGCAGCAGCAGCAACAGCAGCAGCAACAGCAGCAGCAACAGCAGCAGCACCAGCACCAGCTGCGGGTCGCCATGCTATTGCGGCTTTTCGTGGTGAATTGCAGGCAAATTGCGTCTATTGTGTAGGAGATGTTTATTTTTATTCAAAGAATCATAATTTCCCAGTAAGGGGCCCCGAATGCGAGGGAGATTCTTGCTTTTGTTCCGCAGCAGCAGCAGCGGTGCGCAGGCAGCAGCAGCAGCAGCAGCAGCAGCAGCACCCGGCCTGCTGCTGCTGCCCGTGTGCTGCTGCAGCACAGCAGCAGTTGCTGCTGCGTCGAGGCTTTCAGGGGGCGATCCGTTCCTAGGGCTCGCCTTCGGTTCCTGCTGCTGAGTAGGAGCCGTTTGGGCTCCTTTTAAGGGTCTTTTGTGTATTTTTCTTGTTAAGGGGGCACCCATATTGTCTTCTCTCTAGGGAGAAGGATAATACTACGCCCCACGCGCAGCAGCGCAGCAGCGCAGCAGCTTGGGGGCCCGCAGCTACCATCATATTATTGCAGATAGACAACAACTAAAAAAATATAGCGGGTTTTGTTTCTGCTGGTTGTTTAAACCCCAGGAACGCCTGGGTTGAGCTCTACTTATTGAAGTGTATATACAACCCGCGCAAAGGCAGCACAAGGGGCCCCCCAGGCAGCAGCAGCAGCGCGAATGCAGCAGCAAAACTACACACCCTTCCCCCCACACCAACTTAATCCAAGGAAATCTCTGGTGTAGAAGCAGCTGCAGCAACAACTGCAGCAGCAACTGTAGCAACAGCTGCAGCATCAACTCGTGCAGCAGCTGCAGCAACGGCCGGCAAAGCGGCTGCAGTAGGAGCAGCACACATAGAAGCAACAGGTGTAGCAACAACAGTTGTAGCAGCAACAGGCATAGCGGCAACGAGCACAGCAGCGGCAGCAGTAGCAGCAGCAGCAGCAGGAGCCGAAGCCGGTGCCGCAGCTACAGCGTTTGCTGTAGAGCAACTGCAGCAGCCACTGCAGCAGCAACTGCAGCGGCAGCAGCGGCCGGCGCAGCACGCAGCAAGAACAACAGGTACATGAACGTCCCGGCGTAACACAGCATCAGCAGCAGCAGCAGCAGCAGCAGCTGCAGCAAACGCCGATGAAGCAGGAGGAGTTGCTTCCTCCCCCTTCCGCTTCTTCTCTGGGCATGGCGGATTGCCCAGTGTTCCTCTCGCCTGACGGGGGGCTCTTTTTTGCAAGCAGCAGCAGCAGCAGCAGCAGCAATGAGAGCAGCAGCAGCGGCAGCAGCAGCAACAGCGGCGCGCCTGCTGCAGCAGCAGCTGCTGCTGCACCGCAGCAGCCGCTGCTGCATCTCACTGGAGACTTAGGCTGCTACCGCGAGGGCACTCTGCATCGCCTGATTGCCGCAAGGAATATTCCGGGGGTGCGGCAGTGGCTGAGTAATCCGATGTGCAGAGACACCATCAACGACTTCAACCATGCAGGTCTGCTGCTGCTGCTGTTGCTGCTGCTGCTGCTGTTGTTGCTGCTGCTGTTGCTGCCGCTGTTCGTGCTGCTATGCTAGTGAACTTCATGGTGGTGGTTGTGCTGTTGCTGTTTCGGTTGCGCCTAATGGGTTCGTGGTTCTGTTGCGGCGGCAGCGGCTGCTGCTGCTGCTGCTGACGGGCTGTTATGTTGCTGCTGCTGCTGTTGCTGCTTCTGCTGCTCAGGCGAGACGCCGCTGCATGTGGCGCTTCATGTATGCGAACCGCGAATTTTGTCTCTCTTATTAAACCCGCCCCCCATTCAGTTGCCGACAGGCTCCACCTTGAGCAGCAGCAGCAGCAGTAGCAGCAGCAGCAGCGATGGAGTTGATCGCGGGCCCGGGCCTTCGGGGGCTTTGTCTGCGTCTGAGGAGCGGCCGGCGGAGTCATCGGGTGAATCAGCAGCAGCAGCAGATGCAGCAGCAGGAGGAGAATCCGGAGCAGCAGAAGCCTGGACACCGACGGCAGCAGCAGCAGCAGCTGCAGCTGCAGCAGCAGCAACGGTGGACTTCTCTCTGCCACTGGATGATCTCCCCCCGCTGCACATCCTTGTTAGCCGCTCTTCCTTTGTCGCAGTGCGTGCAGACGTTGCAGAATGCTTGCGGCGTCTGCTGCAGCATGTGGGGCTGCTGCATGCAGCAACGGGCGGCTCCCGCGTGTGCAGCCGCTGCTGCTTCACGCATGCAGCCCCCAGCAGCAGCACCAGCAGCAGCTGCTGCACCAGCCCCACCAACAGGGCCTGCACAACCAGCAGCAGCAGCAGCAGCAGCGTGAAGGGGTCGGCTTGGATTGGCTGCGGGCAGCAAGAGCTGGATTTAGATGCAACAGACGGCAGCGGAAGGACGGCACTTCATGTTGCTGCTGCAGCAGGAGGTGCTGCTGCTGTTGAGTTGCTGCTGCATGCTGGTGCCGATCCTCTGCTTGCAGACAAGCGGGGGCTGCTGCCTTTGCATGCAGCGGTAGACAGCAGGTCAGTAGAGTCTCTGCTGCTGCTGCTGGCGCATACGTTTCCAGAAGATTGCTTCTACTGGAGCGATCCTCTGCAGCAAGAGCAGCAGCAGCAGCAGCAGCAGCGGCTGGTGGTGGGTAGCGCAGCAGAAGCGGGGCCCTCTGGGGCTTCTGCTGACAGTAGGGCCCCCAAGAAGGTGGTGCTGCAGCGAACGGAGAGGAGGCCCCTGCTGCAGTCTGCTAGCAGCAGCAGCATGCTGTACCATATCGCGAGGCGCTGTGTGCGGCGCTGCTCTTTTCGTTGCTTAGCTGCTGTATTATCCTTCCCTATGATCCCTGCCAGCAGCAGCAGCAGCAACAGCAGCAGCGGAGTAGGAGGAGCAGCAGCAGCAGCAGCACCGGAGCCTTGCATGGCGCTGCAGCTGCTGGATGTTGAGCAGCTGCGTGCTTTAATTGCTGTTGCACGGCGGGTTGGATGCATGCATTTGCTGCTGCTAACTTTGCTTGAGTTGGTGGATACAAATGATGGTCAGTTTGCTGCTGCAGCGCATGCAATAGCAGAAGCAGCGGGAGGCCTGGATGCTGCAGTTGCGCTGCAGCAGCAGCAGCAAGATCTCCCCCACCAGGTGTATGTACAGCAGCGCTGCAGCCGCAGCGGCCGCTGCTACAGAGTTATTGAAGCAAAGGGCACGCTGCTAGCTACTCATGAGAGCTGCATGCATCATTTACCTCTACCCGAGCCTGCTGACTTCCCAATAAAAAGATTTAAATTAATGCAGCGGTTCCCAGAGAACCCCAGCAGATTGGAGGTAAGACTGATGCATGCGCTCAGCTGTACAGACACCGCAGCTTTGCTCCATCTACTCCACAGTCATCCACGCGCTGCTGCTGCTGCTGCTGCTGCTGCTGCTGCTGATGCTGATGCTGGTGCTGCTACTCATGCTGCTACTCCTGCTGCTGCCGCGCCTCTTCCTGATGGAGCTACTGTTGCAGTTTTTTTGCTGCTTCTACACCGTGTGCTGCTCCTGCTTGCATCATTGCTTCTTCCGTTGCTGCTGCTGCTGCTGCTGCTGCTGCTGCAGGTGTTGGTGCAGCCTTCTTCTGGAGTATTGAGGGCTTGTGAGTTTCGTTATTTGGAGTGGTTAGACACCGCAGCGCCCGCATCTTTAGCTGATATTCTCCGCGTCCACGACGTGAACTACGTCTTCAGACTTAAGCAAAAGTATGCATATATTTTTATATATATTCCTATATATATATATATATATATATATATATGCATACATGTATATATATGATGCGTCTTGCTCATTTTATTTATTGTTCATTTGGGTGTATTTGTTTTGACGTAGTTGTGCATGCATTTACTGTTATCCAAACATGTTTATGTGTTATTTTTCTCTCTCTATATACATATATATATATATATATATAGCAACTCTCTATATGTCTTTGGCTGCTGCCTGCTGCTGCGTTATAGGATCCGCGGGACCTTCGGGGCGCGTTCATCGACGAAGTCCGGCAGCAGCAGCACGAGCAGCAGCAGCAGCACGAGCAGCAGCAGCAGCAGCAGCAGCTACGCCGGGCCGGGGTCTGTGGATCCCTATGCATATTCTTTTGCTGATGGAGATACACCTGTAACAGCCCTTAGCTGGGAAGCAGCAACAAGTGCAGCAGGAACGGTAATTGCTGCAGTTGATGCTGTCTGCACTGGGGCGAAGATTAATGCTTTCTGTGCGGGTGAGTAGCAGCAGCAACAGCAGCAGCAGCAGCAGTAGTAGTAGTAGCGGGAGCAGCAGCTGAGGGACAGGCATCTTACTCTGTGGTTTCTTACTCGTGGATTAATCTGACGGCGCCTTTGCTGCTGCTGCTGCTGCTGCTGTTTGCTGCAGTTCGCCCGCCGGGGCATCACCTGGGCAGTTGGGGTGCAGCTCAGACTTCACCCTACGCCCTAACGGACGAGGACATAGCGTAAGCTTTCTGTGGTTTAGGGTTTAGGGTTTAGGGTTTAGGGTTAAGAGTTTAGGAATTAAGGGGCTAGGGGACAGGTTTTAGGGCTTCGGGCTAGGGGATCAGGGTTTAGGGTTTAGGGTTTAGGGTTTGCGTTCAGGGCTGGGAGTCAGGGCTTTTGCGTATTGAATAATGTGGCAATAGGAGCGGCTTACGCTCGGTATCACTATGCTAACAAAGGTAGGGTATATGTTTAGGGTTTAGGGTTTAGGGTTTAGGGTTGTTGCTGCTCTTTTAATTGGGGTGTATCTTCGTCTTTTTCGTTTGCCTTGTTTATTTGTGCTGCTGTTCTTGGTGTTTGTTTTTCTTCTTATCGCTGCTTTACTTCTTCCTGGGTTTCGTCTTCTTTTTACTATGCTGCTGCTATGATGCCGTTGCTGCTCTTGCTGCAACTGCTGCTGCTGCTGTTGCTGCTGCTGCTACTGCTCCTGTATTACTGCTACTGCTCCTGCTATTGCTGGTACTACTGCTGTTGCTGCAACTGCTGCTGCTGTTGCTGCTACTGTTGCTGTTGGTGCAACTGCTGCTGTTGTTGCTGCTACTGATGCTCTTGCTGCTGCTGCTGCTGCTGCTGCTGCTGCTGCTGCTGCAGGCATCAGGCGTATAGCAATAGTGGATTTTGACGCTCACCACGGCAACGGCACAGAGCAGATTATTCGGAATGTGGGGCTTAAATTCAGAAAGCTGCAGGTAACCTCTCTAAACCCTAAACCCTAAACCCTAAACCCTAGTAAGCAAGCCCTTGTTGTTCTATGCGTTGATGGAGTTCCGTTGCATTGTGGGGTGTACAGACATCCGATTTGCTGCATTTGTTTTGTTTTTTTTTGATTTGTTTTGGTATATATGAAAGATAGAAGATATAAGACATTAAAGAGTATTTGGTGTTCTTTGTTTTTTTATCTTTTTAGGGGCTGTCAGCATTACTCTCCGATGAACAACGCATGCAGCGCATGCACCGAGATGCTGCATGGGGTGGACCCTTTGGCTTATCAGAAGCAGAGGGGCCCCGGGGGCCCCCTGAAGAAGGGGGTTCACTTCAAGAGGTACCCTTTGAGCTGCCTGTTTGGTTGGGGTGGAGAGACGACAGCGACGCAGCAGAACTATTCTTCGCCTCCATTCATGGTGAGATTCTGCTGCTGCTGCTGGTTCTGCTGCTGCTGGTTCTGTTGCTGGTTCTGCTGCTGCTGGTTCTGCTGCTGCTGGTTCTGCTGCTGCTGGGTGCCTCGCACCTTTTGCTGCTTCGCTCTTGGTGGTGGTGACCTTGTTGCTGCTTGTGTTGCTGTTGCTGCCGGTGTTGCTGGTGCAGCAGCAACTGCAGCAGAAGCTGCTGCAAGTGCAGCAGCAGCAGCAGGGTAGCAGCAGGAGGTTTGGTGATGCTGTTGTTTGTTTGCTGCAGCCTTTGATGGGAACTTCTACCCGGGCACGGGGGCGGATTGTGAAGAGTTAGGTAAATCTTTTTTCATCGTTTTTCTTTGCTTAGTCTTGCTGCTGTATGCTTACTGCTTTATTATTGTATTTTTTATTTTTTTGTTTTTGTTTGTTCTGTTTCATCCCCCCCATTTGTTATTTCTTTGTTTCTTGGTGGTGGTTTCCTCCTTTTGTTTGGGTGGCTATTGCCTGCCTGTCTGACTCTGTTGCTGCTGCTGCTGCTGCTGCTGCTGCTGCTGCAGGGGGCCCCACGATAGTAAACGTGACGCTGCCAGTACATCACGCCTGTTCAAGCCCTGTGGAGGGTACGGAAGGAGACAGCTGCTTCTGCTGCCGCTGCTCGCGTTGCAGCATGCGGCGTTGTATGGGTCCTTCACCTCGAAGGTCCTTATCAGCAACATCAGCAGCAGCAACAGCAGCAGCAGCAGCAGGAGGTGGAGGAGGCGGAGCAGCAGGTTTCAGGTGTCATTGCTGCAGGAGGCGGGGGCTATCATCTCGTTCAGCAAGAGGGAGAGAGTTGTTTAGTCGTCGAGTGCTGCGGCGTTTAGAGGCATTTAAGCCTGATATAATATTTTTAAGTGCTGGGTTCGATGGACATATACGAGACCCTATAGGGGGTGAAGCTTTAGGCTGGACTGAAGAAGATTTCCATTGGTTAACGCTGCAAGTGCAGCAGGTCGCTATTAAATGCTGCAAGGGCCGCTGTGTTAGCGTCTTAGAAGGAGGATATAATGTAAGAGGGGCTGTAGCTTCACCTCTTGCTTGCTGCGTTAGGCAACATGTACGTGCCCTTGTTAAAGCATCTTATCTACAACTTGATGCACAACTTGCTGCTGCCGCTGCTGCTGCTAAGCCTGCGGGGACGCCCGCTGCTACTGCTGCCGCGGATGCAGAGGACAGCAAGGCAGCAGAGGCAAACGGGGGAAGACACGGCGCAGCAGCAGCAAATGCAGCAGCAACACCATCAGAAGCAGCAGCAGAGGGCCCACGCTCTTCCACTTATGATGACAGCAGCGTGCCGGGGGGGCCCCCGGGGGATGAGGGGCCCCTATGGGAGGACGTAGATTCATCGGATTGCTGCAGCGACTGCAGCAGCAGCAGCAGCGGCAGCAGCAACTTCTCCGCTTCAGAAGATGAATTTGCTGCTATGCCAGAAGACTGCAGGCCAGCAGACGACCTCGATCCCGAGGCATTCGCAGCAAACACTGAGCACACTGAACCAGCAGAGCAGCAGCCCTCAGAGCCCGGGGGGCTCCCCCCATTGATACCCCCAGAAGGGGGGCCCCCGGGGGGCCCCATGTTAGAGGGGGGCGCCCCTGGGGAGGCCCCTGGGGGCCCTCATGCAACAGCGCAGGCACAGCCGTTCTGCATGAGTTTGGGTGAAGAGGGGGGGCTGCAGCAGCAGCAGCAGCAGCAGCAGCCTTTGCCGTTTATACCTGCTGCTGGGGCTTCTCAAAATCCGAATGTTGTTCATGATGCTGCGGTGTATGGACACCCGGCAATCTCAGCTGAGGATCCGTGCTTTAAGCTGCATATGATGGGGGCTGCTGCAGCAGCGGTGGATGCACCCACAGCTGCAGCAGCCGCAGCAGCAGCAGCGGCAGCAGCAGCAGCAGCAGCAGCAGCAACGGGCGGGCCTTGGAGCAGCAGCGAAGACTCAAGGGCATTCCATACAATTAATGAAGGGTTGCGGAGCCCCTCCGCTATCTCTTCGCTTTCTGAAGATACTGCGGCGGCCTGCAGCAACAGCGGCACGGAGTCGTCTGCAGCAGCAGGAGCTGCTGTTGCAGCAGCAGCAGCAGCAGCTGGTATGGAGCAGCGGGCAGGAGAGGGTTTGTTCGGAGCTGCTGTAGGCACTGAGGCGGCTGCGGGGGCCCCAGGGGGATGCTTCGCACTGCCGCAGCAGCAGCAGCTGGCGGCGCCTCTTGCAGCAGCAACCACCGCAGCAGGAGCAGAGAGATTTCCGTGGATGGGGGGTCCGTCTGCAGCAGCAGCAGCAGCAACACCAGCAGCACAACAGAGGGGGCCCCCCGAGGGCCCCTGCAGCAAAGCTGAGAGGCTGCAGTATTTGTGTGGCTTCTAGGCATATAATAAACTATACGTAATACGATGTCGCATCCTACCGTATATATATATATATACATATATATATATATATATA